CGCGTTGGGCCAGAGTACTGCCGGGGGTGCGGTGACGTGCGGCGGCTGGGCGACGGCGAACGGGAAGGACTTTGTGGTGTCCATTGAGTTCCTGCCAGGTAGTCGGCGATGTCACGTGGCCGATCTCCTGGCTGCGGACGCGGTGCATTAACGGGGAAGCCACGCAGTCCCATCTGTGGGTACTGGCAACGGCGGTATGTGTGCCCGGCCTCGCCGCAGTGGTAGCAGAGCGGGCGGTTGTCAGGTGCACGCCAAACGTCCGTTTTCCTCGGTGCACTGCGCTGGGCCGCTGAGGAACGGTAGGACGTCGGTTGGGGTGGTGGCGGCGGTGGCGTCTGGCGACGGAAGTGTGACGGGGCGGCGTTTTGGCGTGGACGAGGAGGAGCGTTGTGGCGCACTGCAGCGGCGTAGCTCATAGTTTCTGGCTCGGGTTGCGGTGTTTCGGGAATTCGAAGCGATTGCCGGACTTCTTCTCGCACAATGTCGGCGATCGAATCCATTTGAGGCTGCGCCGAAGGCAACAGTTTGCGCAGCTCTTCCCGCACGATCGCTCGGATCGTTTCACGCAGGTCGTCGGAGTCACTGGCTTGAGCAGCAGCGCATTCTGGAGTCAGGCGACGATTATACTGTCTGGTGCGCATGTCCAGCGTTTTTTCGATGGTGGTCGCCTCGGATACAAATTCTTGGACGGTGTTCGGTGGGTTCCTCATTAGTCCTGCGAAGAGCTCCTGTTTGACCCCTCGCATGAGGAAACGAACTTTCTTTTCCTCAGGCATGTCTGGGTCACCGTGACGGAATAGGCGGGTCATCTCCTCTGTGAAAATTCCAACCTTTTCATTTGGTAGCTGAACCCGGGTCTCGAGTAGAGTAGCGGCCCTCTCTTTGCGAGCGACGCTTGCGAACGTTTGCAGAAATGCGCCGCAGAAGACATCCCACGTTCGGAGCGTGGACTCCCGATTCTCTAGCCAGGTCCTTGCGGTGTCTTCCAGGTAGAAGTACGCACGACGGAGCTTTTCTTCGTTGTCCCAGTGGTTGAGGGCGGCCACACGGTCGTATGTTTCCAGCCAGGTCTCCGGGTCTTCGAACGATGACCCATGGAAAATTGGTGGTTCCCTGGGTTGATGCATGACCATCGTGGGCTGGGATGCGGTGGTTGTCATTGTCGCTGCAGTCGCAGTCATGGCCTTGGTCTTCCGCGCTTTGTCTTCTAGAAGCCCGTACTCCGGTGGTAGCCCTTGCTGTCGGCGGCTTGTTCGCTGCTCCTGGTTGGCGTCGGTGTCTTCTCCGCGACGTGGGCTGGGTTCACGGCTTGACGGGGGCGTCCGGTACATGAACGAAGCAGCACCTCCACCAGATGTCACGGGGTCGTGACGTGGTCGAAGACAGGAGACTTCGTGTTGGGGTTTAACTGTTTATTTGGGCGAACCTGTGCCCGGTAAACGGAAAGTCCAATTACAGCAGCAGTCTCGCACAGATAGCAGTCTCGGACTGATAGCGGCGAACGGAGCGTCGGCCTTCGATCGACAACTGACAAGCGGCGAAGCGCGTCGGCATTTATACTCTTGCCGTCGAATGTTCTAGCGTTACCGCTGGCGGTGGCGTAGCTTTCAGAACAATCTGTACCGTTCGCACAGTGGGCGTGATCTTATCGAAATGGTCTGATACAGTCCGGAACCTTCTAGAAAACTGCAGGCGCGGTTTGCGCTGAGAATCGTGTGGTGTTTCGGAACGATAACAAAAACTTGGGAAATGGAACGTGGCAATATAAGTGAACGTACAATTGTGTAAATATAATGTGCATATGCTTCAGTTGACTACAAATTTACTTCACTTTACGCTGTGAGATAATTTCACTAATACTAAACAGATTTTTCCTTCTCTTATTATTTGCAGAGCACTGCTGAAGTGCCAGCTGACAAATGCACAAAGGTGAGGACACCTTTCATTACTAGCAGCAGTTGCGCTGGCTTTTAGGAATGTGGCCGACCGACTTCCTTTTCTCGATTTCTTTCCAGTTTCGAAGAAATAAATACATATGTAAGAAGCACCTACTCATTTATGAAAAGAAAAATGCACAGAAATACGTAGACAAAAAGAGGCAGAACACACGCAGCATCGCACTTGCAAATGAAAAATTCATAAAATGGTACAAACTCGTAAGCCTATTCCCCGCAGTGGAGTAGTGGTTATGGAACTTGGGTGCTGACCAGAAAGTCGCGAGTTCAATCCCGCTCGCGGGGGTTGCATTTTAAAACCTGAAGGCAAAGTCATATAGGCCTGTGCACTGCACGATGTCAGTGCAGGTTAAAGAACACCAGATGACCTAAATTTCCTGAGGCCTCCGCTATAATCTCATAATAATATCACGCCTTTGGCATATCATTATTGTGGTATTATTATTATTACGAACTTATGAGCTTAGAACTGTGCATGTTGAGTGAGGTAACCTTAAGGGGAAAAAAAATGATTAAGTGATACACTCGTCAAGAAAAGAAAGCTTTTTTCCTGCTACGTCGCTTAAATTCAAGGTTTGGCTAACACTAAATTTACATGATTCGCTAGTTAGAAAAGCTTCTGAGACTACAGATGTGAACTGGTCATGGTGCTTAATGAGCATGGTGGTGTTTGAAAAAGCGGTGTGCGACAGCGTACGTCACAGTGAGATGCCAAATGGCAAGGTGAATTGTTCTGTCGAGACAGATGCAGCCATCATTAATACAGTGGCCTTTTGTCCAGTATAGTAAAAGCACGAGATAGTGGGATTTTATAAACAGCTCTCTGTGCACATGCAACATATTTATATCCGTCCACGGCAAATGTTCTTGCATAAAATGCATGATTATTCTTTTTTTTTTTAAACAGAAGCACGTATTTATTGCTATCTGAAAGCATACTTCATAGGGGGAACTGACATTTTTGAACCCATGTGCATGTTTATCTGCGTAAAAAATGCCTGCAAAGTTTTTTGTGCAAAGTTTTTTTTTTATTGGCATCAGCATTTGCGTTTTGTGCAGCACGTGTTGTTTAAACTTCAATCAACTGATCCCAGACATCCATGAGTATGCTAGCTGGGAACCCTGCTTTCTCTAGCCTTGCTTTGCAAAGGAGAAGAGATTACTCAAAGCAATTCTGCTGATACCTGGATAAAGTTAATTATCTCAAAAGATCATTTTTTCTTTGGATCTGGGGCTCCCTCTGAAGTCTTATTTTTGAACTTCGTTACTATAAGGTCGGCGAACTGTGTTCTGACTGTGCACCGAAACGATGGGAATTTCTGAGCGAGTGGTGCATCGTAGCAGTGGGGACGGCACATCATGAGCAAATCTTCAAACGTGAAGTTAATTGCTTAGTGTTTCACGGGCCAAAGCTGGGACCTTTTGCGGTTCTTGCAGTACTCGGGACTGAACAACATTTCGCAAGTCAAATTTTGAACGGCCTGACATTTTTTTCTTTTTTTTAATGTGCAGTAACCAGTCATCTTTTTTAAAGTGAAGATGCTCTACCTCCTTAACCAGGGTATCCGTGAAAGTTTCAGCCGAAGGCCTACTGTGACGATGCTAGCGTTCGCTTCAGCCACACTGCCGTAACCAAGCTGCACCACTGGCCTTTGTTGCACTTTAGATATCCATCCTGTCAAATTATTCGAAACTTGGAATATTAGTGATTCAAAAGTAACATGAAATTATCCGATTAGGTGTCTCCACTTACCTACTGTTAAAAGTAACACCTGTCGCAAGCTGTGCAAGGAGAGCACACATCTCCTCTTCCTGCTCTGTGCATTACAGCTGTGACTGAACACGCAGCCGTGCAACTCAGCACACAGGCTCTGGCTAGTGTAGGGTCGCCACTTGTTTGGTTATAGACTAGCTCAGCCGGTTATTTAGACAGCAGGCTGGTTGCTGGTTCGCCCCTGCCATCATTGGCTGTTTTTTTTTTTTCAGAGCAGTAAATAAAGTGTTATTCTAACCACAGGTATTTTTATGCCAGCAATTAGACTAGTTGGTTAGCTCAGTGTGCTGTTTTTGTTGGTAAATCTGAATCATTTGGCTCAAGGAAAGCAATATTATATTGAATGCGTGTCCAAAGACCTGACATTACGTCGATTGTTCAACAGTGATTTAATTGTCTGATAGCTCATACCCCCCCCCCCTCCAAAGGCCCTTTTTTTTTTGTTCGAGAAAAGATGGCAACCATGGGGAGTGCAAAAGAGGACAAGCTGATGACATTTGTCCTTTTCTGTTCAATTGTTGTTTGTGGTCTCAATATTTAAAGTTCTGGAGACACACGAAGCAAGATAAGCATGCAGGCATGCACACTTAGGGTGGCTATGCCTAGATTCACCAAGATGCGGCATAGAAACTTGGCACTCAATGCCAATGCTATTTACGCATGCCAGCAAGTAGGACACTGTGTGCATGCAGTCATTGAGTGTGATCATTATTACCTGCATGCAGGACACCATGCTTGTTAGTTTAAATAATTAATAAATGAGCATTTACTGCAACTCGTGAGAACCCCTGTGTAGTAAATCTGTACGTTATATAATTGTACATAGCCGTCAGATCAATGCTTTGGATTTGGGATCATACTTTGACTATGTGCTTCTGCTCTTTGTTTCTTTTTCCTATTCTTTTATAGCCAGAGCTTTGCAAACAGAGTGATTAAATGTACAGTCTGGAACAGCTGTAGATCTTTGCAATAATTGTTCCATGCTCATTTGTTAATTGCTACTAGGAGGCATACATGTGGTCTTTTATTCACAACCATATAGTAAATTGCAAGCACTTTCGTTCAGTCCTTTAATATAACCTGAAGAAAAGGAAATTCTGCTGGCAATTTTAGATATTTGTCTTTTATTATGAAAAATGTGATCTGAAAGTAGGCGAGACATGAAATGACATGAATAGTTTTGTTTCTTCAGAATGGCTACTACGTTTGTCAGTTGCTTTGTTAAAAAGCCATTCAGATGCATTTACCAGTTGCGTGTGTGTGACTCCCTCCGCAGGTTATCGCTGTGCAGACTGAAGAATGGCCATGGCTACAGGTAAGATGTTGTCTCTTTGTTGATGACTTATACCCATGTCACACAAGCACGTGAAAGTCGTTTGAGCTAGAAGACTTGTTTGGGAAAAGAGTTTCAGTTGCAGTCACACAACAGAAGGCGATCTTCCCTTTAAAAATGTAGTGTTTTTAGGCGAGAAATGAAGTTGGCTGATTTCTCTTTCTCGATCATAAAAGAGTAGCATTGAAATCAGTGGGGACCAGCGATTGTAGGTTGATTAGAAGTGTGGGCAAATTTTCATTGCTCTGTCTCCTAGGCGCACCATAAACAGCGCCTCTGCTATTTTATCAATGCCAGCCAGATGAGCCCGATCTAGCTGTTCACCACCATCTCCTTTAGCCCTTTCCTGCTTTAACCCATCGCCGAGTCTTCAAATCTGCTTTGCAGTACTGGGGGGAAGAGCCTATCAGGTATTGCCTTACGACGGAAATCATATGAAGTAATCTTCACGTTGTGTACAGATTCCTGGGACGGCATCTTGCATTCCTTGTGTTCACTATATTGGCGGTCACGCTGGCTCTTTAAAAAATACGATGTTTTGAAATAGCGTGTCGCCATCCACGGCGCTCTGTGGGCAAGCAATGGGGACGCGTCACAGTGATGCTGCTGCATAACTACAGTATAAGCTCGTTAATTCGAATTCCATGGAAATGCTGAGCAATTTCAAAACAATTTGGAATAATGAAAGTGAGCAAAAATTGGTGGATTTCGGGGGTGGGGGCACGAAAAATATTTATTGGCCAAAAAAGTCGGCGATGACCATCTGCTTCTTTTCTTTGAATGCCACAGCTGCGGCTCTCTGTTCCAGCGCGCGGACGCGACGCAGGGAATCCTCTCCACCCTCTTCAAAGCTGAAGAAGAGACGCGCCACATCAAGTGCCTCCATCACCGCAGAAGCTGACGGGCGCACAGGCGCTTCGTCATTTTCGTCTTCCTCACATTCTGGCTCTTCAGCAACAGGCTGCGCACCAGCTACTTGAGCGATAATGTCCTCATCAGTCAGGGCACCGCATACCGATGTCAACTTCAACATAATCGGCAAAACGTACGCCCCGAAGAGTGTCGTGCAATGCCACTGGCATGAGCTCCTCAGCCCCATCCTTGTCGACGTCACAACTATCCTGCGCACTTCCAGCTGCAAATCCACTGTGGCGGAAACAGTTCGCGATTGTGGTCGCGGTCACCTGTTCCCATGCGCGCACCAGCATGTGCATGGCAGTGAGCTGCGTATTGCCGAAGTCCTTCCTGTCGCCCGCGCACAAAATCATTCTCTACAGCACGTGACGCCTATAAAAGCACTTGATGTTCCTTATCACACCCTGGTCCATTCGTTGTAGGGCCGCAGTCATATTTGCTGGAAGGAACACTAACTTTGTTGCTCTCAGCTCAACGTCGACTTTGTGCGCCGAACAGTTGTCGACGACAAGAAGAATGCGTCTGCCGCCCAGTTCCATTCGCCTGTCGAATTGCAGTAGCCACTTCCTGAATAGGTCACCTGTCATCCAGGCTTTCTTGTTTGCGGCGTACTTTGTCTTCAGTGACCGAATGTTTTTGAAGCACCGTAGCATGAGTGCTTTGCCAATCACAAAAAGGGGGACCTTTTCCGTACCGGTCATATTTGCGGCGACTGAGAACAGTGACACGCTCTTTGCTGCGCTTGCCGCCGGCACAGCTGCTTCCCTTGTGGGAGACAGCTGTGCTGTCTTGTCTGGCTGCAACTTGAAAAATAATGCTGTCTCGTCAGCGTTAAACACATCCTGTGGTGAGTAGCTCTCCAAGTACTGCTGCAGGGTGTCGCTTCTCCAAGTAGCGCATGTTTCGGCGTCCACTTCCTTTGCCTCGCCAGATAACGTGCGGAATACGAGATTGTGCCGCTCCATGAAATGATGAAACCATCCCTCGGAGGCGACAAAGTCTTCAATGTCCAAGCGCTAGGTGAAATCGCCTGCCTTGGCCATGATGATAGGGCCGCTCAATGCGATACTCTGGGCTCTCATTTCTTTAACCCAGATAATCAAAGCTGACTCCAGTTCCGGGAACTTCGCTGTCCTTAGCTTTTTCCGACTGGCGCCAAAATCCTCGGCTTCATAGGCGTTTTCAATGGCCATCGTGTTGTGTATGTAGGTTGACAACGTGCTCGGAGGTATGCCATGCTTCCTCGCAATTTCGTATTTGCTCGAGTTTCCTTGGTCAACCTCTTGCAAAATCTCCACCTTCTCCTTGACAGTCTTCGTGCAGTAGTTTCCCCGCGGCATCTTGCAACTTCGATGCGGAAGAAGACGGCTTGACGGCGTGAACGAACAACGTGCTCGAGGAACAAAGTGACGCTGCCGGGTGTGGCCTAGGACTGCTAGGACTACTTCACCGACTCCTCAGTGTCCCGCAGGTCCCGCGTATACAAGTGGCGCCAGGCGCTAATAAAGTGGGAGGGCTACGGAAAAAAAAAAAAATTTGCCCGCAGCTTCTCTCGGGGGAACACTGAGGAGGATGCGGAGCATATAATTGGTTAACGGGGTGTTAAAGTGCGACTTACTTGGGTCGATGGCTACATTGGTTAACGTGGTTGTGAAATGGGGTGTTAAATTGCGACTTACTTGGGTCGATGGCTAAATTGGTTAACGTGGTTGTAGGAGGGGGTGTTAAATGAGTGAACACGTACACACGTATGCGAAAGGGCGGCGCTGGTCGAAGGGACGTCGATCATTGTGTTTGTGGATTCGTTGGAATTCATTTCACCGCGACCTTGGACGTCGACGCGCCGTACAAACCAACCGACGAGCGGCAACTGAGCGAGCGAGCGCCGACCTTGAGTATATATACAGCGCGACGGCGCATGCGCTGTCAGCTGTCGAATGTTCTCGAAGGAGAAGCGCGCGCGGCACAGATGGTGGGCGACGGCGCGACGGCGCATGCGCGCGCGTCAGCTGTCGAATGTTTGAGAAGCGGTGCGGACGGCGTGGACGGCGCACTACAAGGCGCGAGTATAAGATGCTTCCGCATCTAAAATTGCTCCCTGGATTTTGGAGGCCATACTTTGCTCGTCCTTTGCTCAGAGACCACTTGAAGCTCGAAAAAACCGGTGGCGCCACCTATCGTTCGGCCGTAAAAGCTTCCACTAGTGTTTGACGATGATGACGCTCGGCGGTGGGCGCTTTGAATTATCCGTAGAGGCAGCAATTTCTGTTCGAATTAACGAATCGTTTTACACATGGTCTCCTATGCACTGCGGACCGGACTGCGGTGACCATTTCGAATTATCCAAAATTTCGAATTAATGAGGTGTGAATTAACGAGCTTTCACTGTAGCGCTGCGAGGTGGCGGCGGCATTGCTTCCAGCCACAAAGGAGGAGCATGAAAGAACAAATCTGAGATACTATGGTAGTGGAGAGGGACACATCTCTATCCTCCCTCAGTGGGAAAGCGCTCAGATGCAAATGTGATGCGAGCAGCCCTACTCATCATGCAGCAGTTCCGTTATGACCACTCCCTGAACCAGGACGGACCAACGGCTCCCATTGAAGAGCGGTCGCCTTGCACTGGCGTTGAATGAAATAAAGAAGGCATTGCTATAAAATTAAGTTAGAGATCTCATTAAAGGCGTCATAAACTCTTTGAAGCATATTTCCCTACATTCTCTCGTAAGCAGCCGAACGGGTCATGCATACCACATCGACAACATGGGGATGCTCGGTGCATCACAAGCACAGACAGAAAAAGCATAGCAGCGCAACATATGTGACCGACACCAGTGGCCAGAGAGCCCTGGACGCACACAAAAAGCAACGGCTACAGCAATCCAAAAGGGACACTTGTACATATTTGTGTTCGTTTTCTTTGGATGGTGCCACACTTTCGGTAGGGTCCACGGAAGAAAATGCTTCAAAGAGTTTGTTGGCACCGTGTGTTCCCAAGCCAGCAGCTCTTGATTAAGAGGTGCTTCAAAAGACTGCCTTCAGAAAAAAAGTTTTTGCATGCTCGTGCGGTTGGGGCATTACAGTGGTGGTAAGTGGATAGCAGAGTCGCCCAAGCCTTCCATGTGCTTTATACCACACAATAAATAAATCTCCATGTGCTAGCGCAGAATAAAAGTGGTAATCTGGTAAAGACATTGCTGCTGAAAGGGAATTACATCCTCTAATGCGATTGGTTTCTTGCTTAAATTCTACACATCATTTCACCTCACAATAAACAGAATTCCCATTAAATGGAGCATACTTTTCTAATCTCTTCAGTTGGGTGCTTCGACGCAAGATTGAACAAAGCACGGCTGGGCGACCTCTTCAGTTTCTTTAAAAACTTTATATATTGTTGCCTGATGAATCTCTTGATAGGTTTGTACCTTGGGTAACTCAGCCCAGTTAATAAGTCTTCAATCTCTGTGGGTATTCTTTTTTTTTGGGGGGGGGGGGGGGGGTATTATTTTTCAAAGAGAGGGGCAAGTTTAAAAACACGTGTACTTTTTCTTAGGTGCACATGATTGGATGCACATAGCAAAAAGTTTCCTGGAGCCATCGCTGGCTGCGTGTTTTTAGGGCTGACAACTTGGTTGTGATTTGAATCATTGATGAGGCGATCAAAAGCAGTAAAATGCAGCAATTTCATTTCACTTATTTACTTCAGGCATCTAATAAAAAGCTTTGTGGACACCCAAGCTCTGCCTTCGAAAATTGAATGCTGTGGTGTGTTCTGGAACCATTTGCATTGCCTTCTCATTAGCTTGCCATGCTTCACTTCTTAGTGAACACCTCAACTGTACATCTTTTTCAAGTGGAATCGCAGGGTTGAATGTTGGTTTGTTACAGCGATGAATAATCATGTGAAAGAAACATAGACAGTATTAAAGTTTTACACATAGCCGTGAAAGATAAGTTGGTTGTAAGTTCAAGGTGTAGTCATTTTTAAAGCTGCGTGTGGTGACCTTCACTTTGCTTGTCATACATTTCCTGTTGTCTTGAGCTGACCAGAGCGGGTGATTTGTAATCCCCCATCTCCTCACTTTTTTGTTTCTTTTTTTCCTTTTTGTTGCACCACCTCAGTTCTGCGAGTCTACTTGTGGTGAGACTAAGGACGAAAGTGATTGTCTGCGTGCTCATGGGATAAATACCAAAGGCTGGCTCCAAGAACAGAAAAGGCCACAAAGTGGTTTGGTCACAAGGAAGGCTTTTGTGCTGTAAGTATGCCTGTTTCATATCTTGCAGTGTGTCAATTCCAGTGGCGATACTATATTTCATACAAAGCATGAAACACTGCCAAGGCTATGAAGAATACTTGGGTACTGATGATAAACACACAACACTGCTGAAAGCAATGACATCAAAAATATGGAAAACATAAATACCATAATGATTAGGGTTTTTGTACAGATTTGTTACTAGGCGAAGTTATGGCACCTTTGAAGCCTGAGTGTTTGAATTTTATGGGCATGTTAAAGCACCCAAGTTTTCAGGCATAATCCTGAATTCCCAATCATGGCATGCCTCATTGAAAAATACTGAAAATGTGTTATTTTCAAAATTTATTTTATTTCTGTGAATTACAGCACCATTCATTCTTTGATGTTAGTGAAATGAGACTTCTGCTTCAGCCCCAAGTGCACTTCCTTCTCAATAAACGTTGTTTAGACGTTCTGCAAAGTTTTCAAGCCAGTGCAACCAGCTTTTCGTCAGATTTGCAGTGACAAGGGCATGGTGCTTAAAGATGGTAAGCCCCAATATTCACATGCGCAAGGTGTGCAGGTTCCTGGCCGGGAAACTGCAATTTGTAAACATTATGCAAGAACTAGGCTTAATTGAAAAAAAAAAAAGCCAGGCAAAGCTTGCGCCTGTGGTGCAAAAGTAAAGGCACAGCGGAGCTGATCGATTCCTAGTTGGTCCTGGCCGAACCAAGTGACACAGGCGAATCTCGTTATAGGGAACCTCAGATTAATGATTTTTTTCAGAATAAGGACTTCTTGGAAAATTCCTCTTCAAATGTCTATTGGTTTAATGTGAAAATATTTCACTACTACAAATTAAGAATACTGAAGTTTCAGCAGTGTATCGAATTTTATCCCCGATATATCTCCACAACACTTCTAATTAACAAATAGCATTTTGAAAGAGTTACTCGTGGCTGTGAAATTAATTCACCTTCCATCATCATCATCTTTAAAATGTCCGGGCATTTCTCTATCTGGCTGCTCTATTCACATGTGTGAGAGCCTAGGAGGGTATACAAGAAAATGGCTTGTATGGAGGAAGCGCGCTCCAAGTGAATCCAGTGCCATCATGTTGTGGTGGGTAGAAAGCTCCACTCGCCGGCTGCCAGTTCACCCGCAGTGACGGTGGATTGCGGTTAGCGTACCTCTCTTTTTTGAAGCGAGCATTGTCCGGTCCTGCATGCACGACCACGGCCGGGCTAGAGGAGCGGTAGGCACGCATTCTCATACAGCCTGTGCACCCAAAGAGGGAACAATAGGGCATATTCTTCACAGCTTGTTGCATGTGGACGTGTTTCGAGCCAACCCAGTACCCTCTCTCTTATACCTTTTCTCAGTCGGCGCCTCGCTTCTGTCCAGCTGCATGTGTTTGGATTTAAATTGAGGAAGAAACCCATGCACATTAATAATAAATTGAAGGATTGTTAAAATTAATTAGAATAAATTCAAAGAAAAATCACTGACTTACTCTTCCATAAATTTGCCTTCAAGTTTAGGTTTACTAAAGAAAAATCAGTAGCAGAAAGACGCACTTTGAGCACTATGTGACCAGATAAGGTTGCCACGTTAAACTCGCTGGGCAATTTTTTTTCCTCCTTGGTTTTACCAAGGTTTAGCGAGGGTTGAGCCGCAGCGCCATTAACTAGAGGTGGTGAAAGGTGGGAACTAGGCACGTAACGCAGGCTGTTGGAGTGCGCGCGTGCCGCTCCTCTAGCCCGGTCATTGCATGGCATAAGAGCTCACAAATCATGCAAATCCTGCTTTGAAGATCCCATTTAGCAGGAACGCACTTAAAGCACATAGGGCTTGCGTGGTCTGGTAATACGCCTGAGTGATGGTATTTTTTTTTGATTGGCCTAAGAAGTAATTGTTTGAAAATAATTGGAAAGATTCCAAGAAATGCTGAGGCAAGCTAGGAAGTTATGTATAACGCATCTATTGGTCTAGAGAGACGTTAGATTGTTCACTTTAGGCAAATATTTGTGAGATATCGTTTCTGTTCTGGGGTGCATCTCCCCCTGCCACTACCAGAGGCGTAGCCAGGGTTGGGGGGGATTTCAAAGGGGTTCAAACCTCCCTAAATTTCTTCATGTTGCTTGTGTCATACATTCTAGATATACTGTCGTCATACTGGATCTAGGCGTGGCTCCGCACCAGCTGCATTCATTTGTTAGAGCATGTCAAAGCTCTTGATGAGGTGAAACTCGGTGGCTTGTTCAGCTCTTTCGTGATGTAGATCACCATGGTGCTGGTACCATTGATTACGACAGTAGCTTGCACGACTTCATAAATGTCCAACCGTTGCTTTACTGTACCAAGGATGACCATGTTGGGCTTGAGGTGTGTTGTCCCCTACTCCATCGTTCGTAGGAGGCCCATTAGTACAATAGTGATGCCCACTTCAGTGTCCAGGTGAAACTTAACTTCTTGATCCCTAAAATAAGGTGAAAATTTCCCATGGCTTTCACTTGCGCAGGACTGACCTCGCTACAAAAGAGTAAGCATCCTTTGATGAGCCTTCCAAATGATGGATGATTTGCCTTAGTTGCTTGGCTTCACAGGCTCATGCAAAATGGCCCTGCTTGCCATTCAACAAAGTGAGCTTGGCAAAGGTACCATTCGAAGTCACAAAGAAATAAATTCCACTCTTGGCCTAATTACTCTTTGCAGCACCCACTAGTGAACATTGCACAGGCCTCCAGATGCCCTTGCTTCTGAAACTTTTTCTGCTTTTGTGGGCACACAGGAGCAAAACGTACCCTTTTTGGCACCTGTAGTGCATTGCCCCATGATGGCCTCCAGTAATGTGCCCTGCCACTCGCCACACACTTTTGCATGTCTTCGTTGGCCCATAGGTTTACTGAACACGCCTAAGTTGCTTGCCGATGAACTGCCCGTTATTGCTCACGTCGTTCGCGCCGCCATCGAAGTTCTGAGAGAGACCACCAGCTGCCCATTAATGGCGGCGTGCCGCCGTTTCTCTTATAATGCTATATGCTCGTGTGCTCAGATTTGGGGGCGCGTTAAAGAACCCCAAGTGGTCAAAATTTCCGGAGCCTTTCACTACGGCATCTCTCATATTTATATGGTGGTCTTTGTCTGTTAAATCTCACATAATAATCAAAATCAACCAAGAAAATTGAAATAAGGAACCCCTGATTATTTTTTTATCCCGACAGATGAATTCTTTACAGTGAAGACGACGGAGCTCTATAAAAAAAGGCCGACCTGCTTCGAGGGTTTTTGTATATTTTTTATTGGTAAAAATGTTGTATGGACCTTTTCTACAGGCATTCATCATTGTTTTTCTGTTCTGTATAAACACCATCTCAATAACTTTTTTCACACACTGTATGCTTTTCCCCCGGATAAAATTTCACGAAGTCTGCAGTTTTTTGCTTGCGAGGAACACTGCTGACGCATAGATGAAACAAGCTGCTCATCTCCATCAGCCGGACGGCGCATGCGATATCATCTTTCCGCTTGCGATGCCTAAGATTGATTGCTCCTCAACAGGAAAAGAAGCAGTGTCTCTCTTTTGCTGGATGTTTGAGTATGAAAAGATACTCGGGTAGGAGGCTGTGTGGCTCGATCCGCAACTGTGAACTTTGAGTATAAGTGTACAGTTGGGTGTGCAAGTGCCCTCACTATTTCAGCAGGCATCAGCGAATGGCTCCTGTACCCTTCTATGCACTATGAGATCACTGCACAAACACTGCCCTTTTCCCGCAAGCAGCCCTATTCCCATACGCTGGCGTTTTGCAGTTACACGATGTGAGATGAAAAAGAGTTAGTTGCAGCCTAAGTTAGTTACGAGTCTGCGTGATCCTATCGCACAGTGTAAAATGTGAAGTCATCAAAAGGTTTTCTGGCCATAAAACTGTTGAAGTCGCCCCAAATTTAGTGTGTTGTCCTCGAATACATGAGAAAAAAGTGTATTGAACTTTCCTAATGTTGATGACACTTTTGTACTGGTCACTTTAGCCCCATCTTTTGAGAAATTCGAATGTTGTAGTGAATTTCTCAGCATAGATGCGCTTCTTTTCAAGTTTTGTGACATTGTGCATAAATGCTTATCAAAGTGTGAGCCTCAAATATATGATAAATGAAACTTAAGACCCCCATAGTACCATAGATATATAATTCATCTCGCTCGTCACATAAAACACTTATGTAAGAACCGTCATTCGTAGTGTAATGATAATGCTTCTTTATTTAATACATTGAAAACTAAACTAAAAGCTAAAATGAAAGAGGTAAGATTTACTACTTCAGCAATGTCTTCGTTACATTTACGAAGGAAGGGAGGAAAATTGGAGAGAAAGAACAGCAAGGAGGTTAACCAGCCTATAGGCAGCCTGTTTGCTACCCTGCACATGGGAGGGAAAGATAAAAGATGGAGAGGAGAGAGGGAAGAGAGATCAACACAGAGCACATTCGGCAGCACACGCGCGCACACTCAGTCATAGTTTAGTCTTGTCTTTCGCGGTGTGTGACATTCCTGTTACTGCCGCTTGTTCAAGTCAGTGTCTCGTAGGAATTTCAACAGAGCTTTTGTCGCCTTCTGTTGCAATGTCTTTTCTCAGGCACTTGACAGAATAGTGTCCACAGGCATTTGGCTGTTGTCGATGCGCTCAAGAATGAACACCAGTGACTGTCTCTGGATGTCATACGACAGTCGCACAGGATGTGGTGTAGCGTCTCTTCGCAATGACAGGCATCACAGAGAGCGTTGTCGGCCGTTCCTGTGACAAAGGAATAATATTTGTAAATGGCACTCCTAGCCATAAGCGATGAAGAAGTGTGGCTTCTCTTCGGTCGAGCCCAGTGGGCATGCGGAGAGCCATCAAAGAGGACAGGTGGTGTTGACGATTCGTCTCGTTGCTTGGTGGGCACCATAGTGAAAACGTGATTTCGCGCTTAAGTCGTCGAAGGTTACTGGCTGCATCGGTCCGCGAAAGTGGTATGGCTTC